CTGCATTCATTCGTTCCTAATATGAGTTTCAGCATTTTCTTTTTTCTTTTTTTTTTTAATCGTTATCACAGTGTTTTAGTACGCTCGTTTTTTTTTTTCCCCCTTAATTAATATCGAATAATATTCTCTCGATTATTATATATATAAAAATTAAAATAAGACCGAAACATCCGTTTCATCGATTTCCATTTACAATGAAGTTATCTCGTATTATTATTGTTACATATAAAAATTATTACCTAATTTATTGCATGATATATGCATGTTTACACACCTAGTTTACTGTATCCATATATACTTTTTATTCGTCCACGTTCGAACGTTGATAGTCGCTTCTTCTCTAGTTTTTTTATTATTAATTCGAACGAAAAAAAACTGTCTTCACCCTTCTACCTTCATTAGAATATTATTTAGAATGGTATTCAAATACAGTATATTTAAATGATCATCGAAAAATCCTTAAACGATAACTTAAATACACGTTTTTTTTTTTTCCCCCTATCAAAGTGATTAATCCTTCTTCTTCTTCTTCTTCTTCTTTTTTTTTTCCGCTTGAACGTCTTTATTTATTGACACATACGAGGAAGTCGTCCCGATGATAATTTCAATGAAAATAGAATTCGAAGCGAGGAATCCGACGGATCTTTGTCCTTAGAAAATGAAACCGACGTTCGCTACACATCGGAAACCCTACATGAGATCCCATTTGCCTACTTAGACGTTGGAGCAGCCGGCTGGTGCTGCCCCGCCATCCCCAGTCTTGGTTGCGAGGAAGCAAGTAATTCTTTATAGTATGCACTAAATTCCGGCGGTAAAAACGACGTTGCAGCCGTGGGCGGAATCGGCGGGGGGAATAAACCATTGTAGAATGCGGAATAGTACATGGGGTCTAAAATCGGTAGGAACTTGCCGGGCGTATTTGGCAGTTGCGGAAGGTAAGCTGGATTGTTTTGCGGCACTGCAGGTACGAAACCAGAAGGTATACTTGGAACACTGTGTCTTCTTCCAGCTTCGGTTTGCCTTGGTTCCTGTTGTTGTTGTTGCTGCTGCTGCTGCTGTTGTTGCTGCTGCTGCTGCTGTTGATGTTGTTGAGCGATTAATGATTTATCGCCCTCGCTGATTCGACGCTGTTGCTGCTGATGTTGTTGGTGATGTTGTTGGTGATGTGGATGCTGTTGTTGGTGATGTTGATGCTGTTGTTGCTGGTGCTGTTGATGCTGATGCGGATGTAGATGTTGCTGTTGATGAAGATGATGCTGTTGGTGCTGGTGATGCTGATGATGTTGATGATGCTGGTGATGATGCTGCTCCTTACCGCCTAACTCTACGTTTTTTCTCCTGTCGATCGTATTTTGTTGTTGTTGGATCGTAGCCATCCTGGTATAATTTCCGCTATTTAGATGATTTAGATTAGGTACATTGGGTATAACAGGATGACTCGGTTTCCTAGGTGTATAAGGTGAAATTGGTTCACTCCTTGTCATATACTTGCCGTTCAATTGCTGTCTTCTTTGCATAGGTATCGCATTATTTCTAGACGGGCTCGGCACGCGGACAGGAGCCGGTGGTGTACTTAGGTGATTATTACTCTTTTGCTTAGGATTTACGATTGTTATTTCTAAATTATTCGAAGCCATGGTTCGACTGTCGAGTACGTTCTGATAACCAGGGAAGGTACTTCGTTTCGAACAATCTGTTGGTTTTTCTTTAAGCGTGGACGAGTTCCTCATCTCCAAGTTTAATGGATTAGGCCTCGGCACTACAGGTACTTTCACTATTTCTAAGCTCGGCCTCGGGTACGTCGACTTGTTGGATTTTTGCGTCAAGTCGAGAACCCCGCCGTAAACGGGGTCGTTATTACTATACATCGGATGCGGCTGCAAACGATGCAGCGAGGGACGATATTTTGGAGGGATAGGAATTTCTTTTGGATCTCCATAAACCGTCTTTTCGTTGTGTGCGAATATCGACCTTGACTGTGTCACCTTGGGCGGAAATATCCTACCGTTAGGAACAGTTGGCGGCACGAAACGATGATTTGCTTGATGCAACCCCGACGATGCCGATGGTGGTGGGACGTTGGCGTTCGCGTACAACTGTAGCAACCCTGCGTTATTAGAAGTACCAAGATTTATTACACGACTGTTCACCATATTATTGTTGTTCATTGTGATGTTGTTGTTGTTGTTGTTGTTATTGTTGTTGTTGTAATGAGCAGGATGTTGTTTCGTCGGCGTTGGTAACCGTGCTTGATGATGATGATGCTGCTGCTGCTGCTGTTGATGTTCTTGTTGAGGGGACGATAACATATGCCCTATGTCAGGTGTCACGGTGACGGAAATCAATTTAGGAATGGAGTTGGGCGTGACTGGAAGGGGATACGTTATCGGTGGTTTTTCTTCCGATTTCATCGTTGCCGGCGCAGGGGAATTGTTTTGAATAACGCTCGGCCGCGTATCCAAGTCAACGGCAGTGACCTCGAGTCCGCCTTCGCGGAGTATTTCGAGTTTGCGCTTCTTGAAGCTGGGAATGATTATTTTATCCCTACTCGTGTCGCTCTCCGTTTCAAGATCGATCACCTCAGGCGATCTTGGAGGGACTATCGCCTTCTCCGCAAAAATTGACTTCTCGCCGAACAACGGGATGTTCTCCTTGCCCTGCGCCAACAGGTTGGTCTGTTTGGGATCTAATTTGATCTCTTTCATATCCTTCTCGGGCGGCGGCGTCAACGTGACAACGGTAGAGGCATTCGTCACCACTGTGGTTACCGGAAGACCCGGTGGCGAACACGACTGTGGTGGAACTTGTTGCGAAATAAGAGGGCTATTTAGCTGCCTCTCTAACACGCTTTGACTTCCAGTACCATTCGTGGGTGTGGTAGAAGGTGTACTACTAGGCGTTGATATTGATGTATTAGAAGAAGGTGGTGGACTTGGCAGTTGGCTGGTTTGCTGGCTGGGTGATGGTGTACTATTGGCAATCATGGTATTTAATGATTTCAGACGTTCTGGTTTCACTCTTACGCTACGTAGAGACGATGTCTTTCCAGTCTCTGTTTTGGGTTTTTCATTGGACAGGAACGGCTACAAGACAACAATTGTTAATCATGCGAATAACAAATATCGAACGATATTTGTGTCGAACGATTTTAACGGTAATCAATTAAAAATTATATCAACTTACCGCTGTCGATACGATTGATTGTAAGGGAGGGCTTGCAGTGGTAAGACTCGTTTCTACAGGGGGAGGCGTATCCGATGGATATGAATCGTTCGTTTCTTGCTTAATATCCTCGGATTCTTCGGATACACTGCTACTTTTACTTCGTCTTCCGTGTGTCAGTCTAATTTTTTCTTCCTCGCCTCTTTGATACCTCTCATATGGTAACAATAACCTGTTCGTAGATATGATAAATTCTATAGACGATTGTATATATATATACATATACATATATATGAGTTCGCAGTTAATCCACAGGGCAAGATTTTTCATTCGCGTAACTTTACCTCTCGTAATGCCGTCGAGTGATAGTCGCAGCGCTGGTAGATCCTGTATTACCACCTATATCGTCGTAGATATTCTTCCACAGTCGACCAGCGCTGACGGAATCATAACCACCAAGCATTTGCACTTTCGTATAAAACAGGAAGAGATCGACTGCAAGCAAAAGAATCTCATTTAGTTCGATAGATCTTTTGTTATCGTTGTGCAATGAATATTTATTCGTACGTGAGATTTGTCAAAAGGAAACACTGCTGTATATCAGCTTCGAACAGTACCAATCACTGTTTTAATTTAATTATACATATGGGTGGACATTTACATTTACGAGATATAATATATATATATATATATTATACAAATTTCCGCCAATTGTTTGAAAAAAAAAAAGAGATCACACAGATACTGACTCTGCCTGTAGCCCAGCAGTGGCATCTTTCCGACAGGCGTACCCCGCGAGTTCATGAAATTCTGCACGTCCGTTATGAATTTCTTTTCCTCCGCGCTGGTCTTCCGCTCACTTCGCCGTACCACCGACGAAGGTGGTCTGCCAACGCTCGGTATCATAACGTTCGAACTCGCTGGGGCACTTTTCGACGTGGATGCAACGGAAGCTTCACTTTCATTACTCGATTCACCGGGCGATGCGCTGCGCTTTTTACGTTTCCTCCTCGGCCTTCCTTTCAATTTTGGTGCTGAAAAATATTTCACTTTGCTTTCAATCTTGAAATGAAAATAAAGCATAAATATAAAGAAAATATATATATATATATATCTTTAGATTTTTTAAATTGACGAGAAACGAATGTTCAATATACGTTCAATGTATAAATATGATAATAATATGAATATCGGTTCAAAAAAAATCTCATTATCTGTTCTCTTACGATAGAATAATAAATTCGGATTAAATAACGAAATGTTATCGATTCCTTATATCGATTTCGTTTTTCATTGTATCTAAATGCTTTGTTTTTAACGAGATAATGAACATGATTTTTTCCATAATTTGAAAATTTATGTAACGATCGAAAAATGACTCTATGAAAAAAATATCATTTTTTATTATCTAACATTAAATTTTAAAAAATTAAAACGAATAAATCGTTATAATAAATTGTACACATACAGTGTACAGTATCTTATATTCTGTTATTAATTTAAATCATAACATATATTAATGCAATGATTTAATAATTAAATGATAAAAATTAATTTCGAAATATAAAAATTGTTATTCGTAAATTGCAATTTGTACATTTATATTTCTTTACATTGTCAAACAATTAGTCAAATTATATGGTCGTAATTACCATACATCTACAATACATCGTAACAATCTAATAAAAGTAAAAACATTCTTGATTTTTCATCACTAGTTTTTAAATTTATTTGACATTTATCACATAATATTTACGTATATATAAGAACGATATAGATTAATACAGAATTATGTATCATTTCTACTTAAGTTTCTAAATCTATTCCACGTGCACGTGTCACATTTCAATATATAAATCCCGCCCAAAAAGTTAACCAACGATTCTTCCTTTGTACGAAGCACAAAAATATAATACCTACCAACTAGTTTAAAATACACAATCTTATTTTCTTGTATCTTCATAATTATGGACATTGTGCTTTGTATCAAAATAAAGATTTAGCAAATGAATCGATAAACGATTCATAAGTCACACTACACTATCACATTCACTATTAAAATTTTTATAAATCCTGAGACATCGATTTATGTACACATTTGAAGACGGATCTATATATGCTAGTAGAAGTGTTAATATGCTTTGTCATCATTATAGTTACAAAATATTTTTCCAATGAAGAAACACAACCTTATACCAACGTTCTTCCCGCTAGCCTTACCCGATACGTTCTATTGTTTTTTAAATGGCTCTCTAGACTATGCAATGTAATTGCCTGTTGCGACCACATGCTAATCTCGGTCGGTAAATAATAAAATATCTAATAATTAATTAACCAATGATTATTAATACATATCATATAAAACATTTATTATTATTTAATTATATATTAAATAAACATTTTACGCAACAAAAAGCATTTTCATAAGTAGATTTGATTTGTGAAATCTGTTTTATCTAGTTTTTTTCTACTTCTATTTCGTCATCGGTGTAAAAAGAAAAATAAATTTCAGTTGGTAACCTAACCTACCTAAATGATTGCAAAGGAGCTCGTGAGTTTCAAGGTCCGGATAGTCAAAGGTATCTCTACAGAAGAGTATCCTTGTACCCGGTGTGGCGGTGAATCCACCCAGTGCGGCTGCTATGGATGAGCAAAGCCAGGACGGTTCGGCGCCTTCGAGCCTACGTAAGAGTGCTCGATATCGGCAGTACCTGGGATACGAGAGCACCACCACTTTCGTTTGGGAACTATAGTCCGATTTTCGCGTGTTGTGATTGCTTTCGTACTCCTTCTGTTGCTTATCGACGTCCGAAAAATCAATGCCAGGATCGGTGAGCACCTGCGGCTGAGGTATCTCATACCTTAACGGGCTATTCTCCGGAGACGACGTTGGGGTCGGTGGGTAAGATACCTCCCGACCCCATGACCATTCCAATGCAGGCGATAACCACGTAACGAGATCATGAACACGCACCACAACCTTTTCAGATATTGTCAGCACTTCGTCCTGCAATCAGATAAGTATTTCTTGTTTTATTTTTTACGTCGGTATTTTTTTTATAAACAAATATATTATTATATTTTTTACGTATCCGATAAAATGAAAAAAATTTTTAGAAACGAATATGAAGAATAACTTTCTAAAATAGATAAATTATAAAATGACTTTTCGAATTGAAATAACATTTTTATCATGGATAAAAATAATCACATAATTTTTATCGAATATGAATTGTTATCCGCATTATGTCACTAACTTATCATTTAAGCAATCTTCTCTCTTACCAAACTAAATCTTTTCTTTTAAAGTTTTACACAGATTCTATAAATACACACGTATTTCTTCGCAAAACTTTTGCACATGTATTATATTTTCAAAAATAGAACAAAAAGTTGTCGACATGTTTTATCATGATTTATCTTTCTCAAAATGCAACTTTTCGTTATTTTTCTTTAAAATTCCCAAGTCATGTTAAAATAATATATCTATATTAAATTAAATTACAGGTCAAATTGAAAATAAGATATTGAGAGGAACAAAAATAAGCGAAGAATAATCAATTTCAATGGAATTTTGAAGATTTTCTATTGACTCGGGACGAAGTAGGTATCTTTCTTACCAGTCCGTTCCATTTGCGATATTATTTTACCGACCTTTCATCGACAGGTGGAGACACGGTCAAGTCTCAGCGCTACTTAAACTCGTAATCTGACCCATCCTCTACATGCATAGATCTACTTGTCGTGTATAAAGCTAAAATACCTATGTGCTCGTTATGTATACACATAATCCAGCCAACGTAACTCGTGGTTTATGTTGTACCTCGAGTGCATCGTTACCTACTCCGCTTCAGCGATAATTTAATTGTCCGTTGATGCCAGCGGCGACGTCATTTTCACAAAGTTTGACCTAACTTTTGGACCTGGTGATTTGTGGAATTTAATTCAACTGTAAGTTATTGCTTCCCATTAAATTTAAAATGTAGAGGAATGAATTTAAAAAAAAATAAAAATTTTTATCAAATTCAAAATAGAATAATACTCAAGGATAATTACAATTTTACATGATTGACAGTAATAAATGCAATTTGCGCATTTCGTTTATCTCGAAGATCGAATAATGCTCGTAATGAGTCATACCAAACATTGGTGTGAAATTTATTACTGGGACGTTGAACGTGCATAAATCAACTAAGAAATGTAAACATACGGTATGCTAAGTATTAGCACTCTTTTCATCGGTTCTCGACCTTTGAACAATTGCTACAAAGATACGAGGTAAGCTCGAACAATAAAAAAAAAAAGAACAGAGAACGCGAATAAAAATTTAATCATTTAATAAATACGAGTATAAACAATTATAAAAAACAAAGTATAAAACGTCAGAATATAAACGCAATTTATTTATATAATACGAAATATATATTGTTATATTTATTTAATTAACATTAACCGCTTGTCCACGATGTTTCTCCGCAATTAGCTTATATAACTGGAAGATTCGTTAGCGGCAAATCGAATCGTCCGGAAAGAATTGAGATTCAACGAGGGGCAATTGTGAGATGCACTTGAACCGGTGGCTCTGCGAGTAAATCCGTTAACCCGCGGCGAAAAGAGCCTTGAGCCAAGTAAAATGGCCGGGTTTTAACCCCTTGCACTTCAACTGCCAGTCGAGTTAGCTATAAAATGTTGAACGTTTCAATGGAACTAAATTTGATAATTATTTTTTTTTTTTTTTTTTTTTTATATCTCAATACGAAGAATACGTTTTATACAATTTTTATGAATTATTTATTTGTGTACATAATCTCTTTATTTTATTCCATAATCATAATTGAAAACAAAATTAAATTCATTTAAATTCATTTATTTATATATCTACGCCATAATGTAACATTCTATTTAGTTTGGAAGTCTTATAGCCTCGGTTTTTATACTTTCATCTTTTAACTCCGTGCTCATCCATGCCCTCCTTCAATCCCGCCACTTCACTTCTTCCTTTACTCTTCTTTTTCTTCTTTTTTCCTCTCCCCCCCCCCTCCTCCTCTTGCTATTGCTCGACTTTCTCGTCCCTCGTTTACATCCCATTCTCGATCTTTTCTTTTCCCATCTCTATATATCTCTTCTTCTTTCGGCTTTCAACATTGCCTCTCCTCCTTTTTCACTCCTCACCTTTAGTCACTTATTTGCTCCCCTGTTTGTACGATCTTTCCTTCGCTACTTTGCTTACTAGCTCGTTCCACGAATGTTGATGCAAAAACGAATTAATTTTTGTAATAATTCCGTATAAACCTAGTCAAAAGATTTATATATATCGTTCACATCACTGTTAATACGTTTGCCCGTGGATTTTCTCTCTCCCTCTCTGGTCTGTCAGTCACGTACGTGCTCTCCCATTTTCAGTTTCATGGAAAATCTTTCTCTTTTCTTCTCACCATACTCTCTCTCTCTCTC